CTTCCCGCCCCCTGCCCGCAGCCTTGTGCCAGCTCCCGGCGGCAGCAGTGAGGGCAGAGGGACCGGTCCAGCCCCCCCCATCCCGCATGTGCCACCGATGCCTGGGTGCACCCCGAACCCCCCCGGGGAAGGGGCTAAGGGCCAGCACCCCCACCCATCCCCCACCCACCAGCAACGGGGAGAAGCAGGGGGACCCCAAACCCGTGTCTGCAGCAAGGGCTTGGTCCCAGCAGCGTCAGGCTCAGCCCGGACCCTCCCCAGGTCTCCCCCCTCCCCAGAGGGACCTGCAGGAGCTGGCAGTGGCACCCCCCATCCCTCACTGCCCGGGGTAAAGCCCTGTGTGGAGGAGGCATTTTGGACAAGGTGGCACCTCCAGCCCAGAACAGGATGGTCACACAAAGGTCCCTAACCTGGAGAGCCACCGGCTACCATGGCTCCTGCCCGGGCGTTCCCGGTGGTACGGGGGGGGCAGCAGCCAAACCGCAGTGTTTATTTCCCCCCCCTCCCCCAAATAAGCAGCATTTTGACATGTCACAGCAAGTCTCTCAAAACACGTGTTGACAGAAAAATGTGTACAAGCAAGAGAAATGCTGTTCATTTGCATCAAATTGCCAAGCCATTCGGTGAAACTGATGGGTGGCATTTCTGTGAGCGGCACCGGTGCCTCTGCCACCTGCGAAGGGTCTCCATGGGAAGGGCTTTGCCAATGGGAATGTGGAAGCCCTGAGCACCCCCAGCTTTCCCAAAGGTCCCGGTGCCAGCCCTAAAGCTACCGGGGTACACCAGGGAGGCTGCTGTGACGAGGTTTTAGTGTCTCTGCTCCCACATCTGTAAAAATGCCATTAAAAACAAATATTAATTTTCCATTTTTCCCCTCCCTGCCTTCACTCCGGGTGGCAAACGGAGCCACGCGGGTGCTGGAGGTGGCTGGCAGTGACAGGGCTGTCACCGAGCAACCCGCCCATCACACGGACCCTTTTTTTGTCAAGTGCTGGAGTTTGATCCTAGGAAACTTTGGGTATTTGCTGTCCCCAAGGGACACCACGGAGGGACTGTGTTTGGTCCGTCACAGAGTGAATTTAAATACGGCTCCTTGACCTAACCTCATTAAGAAGGTGGAAGTAAGACTAATTAAATCCATGAAGTCCCAAACTGTGCTGCTCTCCTGGTTTGGTTTATTTCTGGTTGCTTCTCACTCCCACAACTCCATCGAGTTAGGATTCTGAAAATGTTAAAAAGATGGGCAGTGCAAAATGAAACTTCTTTCAGGAACTTTTGGGGTGTTTGGGCCTTTTCAGGGTGTTTACACCCAGGGCTGTGGCGGTGCCAGCTGGGGAAGCACAGAATCACAGAATCACAGAATCTTCTAGGTTGGAAGGGACCTTAAAGATCATCTTGTCCAACCGTCAACCTGACTGACAAAAATAGACACCCACACAACAAACAAGGAGCATCATCACTAAACCAGACCTCCCAGCACTACATCAACCCGTCTTTTGAACACCTCCAGGGATGGGGCCTCAACCACCTCCCTGGGCACCTCCATATCCCCTAACGCTCTGCCTCCAGCCTCGCCAAACCTCAGTTCTGAGCAAACCCTGGGTGAGGTGGGAGCCCCACACCCCCATGAGCCGTGCCTGGGGCCACCGGGTCACCCTGCCTGCTCTCCTGGGAGGGTCTGCACAGAAACACCCCTGGAAACCAAGGGAAAGCAGGGAAAAATGCACTTTAAATGGGAAAACTGTTGTTAGCCACAAGCATCACCCCATTGCCATGCAGTACTGCGTGGGCAGCGATGGCATCTCCCCGTGGGGAGGGGGGTTGCCCCGGGCTGTCAGCTCCGGGTGAGGAAGA